GACCTTCGTTGATGATTGCACAGTGCTCACTGTTTGCCTCCAAGCCACTCACCTTCCTGACTCGGAAATATATCACCACTTCTTCAGTGTCACTGGGTCAAAATCCTGGAATTCCCTCCCTAACAGCATTGTCCCTATACCCTCAGGACTGCCCCAGCTCAAGAAGCAGCTCACCACCAGCTTTTCAAGGGGCAATTAGGAATGGGCAACAAATGCCCAACTAGTCAAACCATGAGTGAATAAAAAAGTAGCTAACCCAGGCAATACCTGCTCATAAAGCACACTAAGGTGGCATGGTGGTTAGCACTGCAGTCTCACAGCGCCAGGGACCCGGGTTCAATTCCACCCTCAGGCAACTGTCTGTGCGGAGTTTGCACGTTCTCCCTGTGTCTGCGTGGGTTTCTTCCAGTTTCCTCCCACAGTCCAAAGATGTGCAGGTTAGGGTGGATTGGCCGTGCTAAATTACCTCCATAGTGTCCAGGGATATGCAGACCGGGTGGGTTAGCCATACAGAATACAGGGTTACAGGGATGGGATGGGGGGTGGGATGCTCTGAGGGTTGGTCTAGACTTGTTGGGCCAAAGGGCCTGTTTCCAAACTGTAGGGATTCTATGATCTATGATCATAAGCCTGCCTAGGAAGGGTTGGTGCGGAGTTGATAGTGAGTGCTGTTTACCTTTTCCGAACATCAGAGTCTCTCCTGATTAAATGAATGATATAACCCTGCAGAACGCCAACGGTATGGGAGACTCAACATCACACTGTCTCAACAACAGTCTTCCAACCATCCTTTACACTGGATCATTAGTTGCTGGGGCATATTGACTGTCTAATGTTACATGGGGTTATAAGTTGACTCCTTAAGGATCTTGCGGTAGTGAGCCTATCTCTGGACCGGAAAGGATGAGGTTGAGTCTCACCTACAGCACATGGGGTGCCATAACATCCCTGAACAGGCTGATTAAAAGTTTGCAGATGGAATTTTCCAACTTTGCAATGTTGGCTTGTACACTCGTGGCTAAAGTAGGCATATTCGAAATCAGATGCTGCTCAGTTCCATTATCTCATTCTGTGTGCAATTTGAATGTAGAAGTAACTACCTTCAGCAATTAGCACTGTGTCCAACACACACACAAACCCTCCAGAATGGCTATGAAAATAGTAAGAATTCTGCAATACAAAAGAGGCAAAAATAGAAATTGATGCTACCAGACAGAGCTGCCAGATCCTGCCGAGCTTTTCCAACAATTCCAATTGTTGTCTCCGATTTACAGAAGTCCTTTTGGTTTTTATTTTGCAATACGCAAGGTGGTCTGCTGGCCCTGAGGAAAATCTATTGCATAAAAAGGAAAGAAATTATAATTGAAATTTCAAAAGCATTTGCACAAAACGTCCCAGGGCCACTTGGGGTGAGTGGGATATTATTTTTGAGCATGTTCTCTGTTGGATTCGTTTTCACTTCTGCAACTGCTTCCTCCATGCTCCCATCCCCCTCCTCTGTCAGGCCATTGGTTTTGACTGTTCGCATCCAGTTGCTTTTCATAGATGATCCCATCATTTGGCAGGCAAATCAAGGTGTGGTATCCAAATTAAGGCGCAATTCACCTGCTCCTTCTCTAGTGCTGTGAACAGAGCAATACAGGACTCCTAATGGTGCAAAGTGTAAAGCCAACATACCCTGGCCAGACCGTAGGGCTGTTCTCTCGTTGGAGGGACAGAGACAAATGTCAAACTGTCAGAGACAACAGGTACTTTAACCTGAGGGTCCCCATGCCCCAGGCAAGGCGAGAGAAGAGTTCTTCAGCTGGTGCAGGAATTGAACCCATGCTGGTAGGCAAAGAACCATCCAGCCCTCCTGAGCTAACCTATCCCCTTACAGTGGTGACATCACTAATCTAGACCTGCCAGGCTAATGCCTTGGGGAAGAGAGGGCAGGTGGAGCACTGGTTCAAAATATCTGGTGGAACTTCAATTCAATCAAATCATGAACTGTCAACTTCATAGAATCCCTACAGTGTGTGGGAGCAGGCCACTCAGCCCAACGAGTCCGCACTGACCCTCTGAAGAGGACCCCACCAAGACCCAGCACCACTCCCCCCCTCCCCTATCCTGTCCCTGCAACCATATAATTTCCCCATGGCTAACCCACCTAGCCTATACATCTTTAGACTGTTAGAGGAAACCAAAGCACCTGGGGGGAAACAGACACAGGGAGAACGTGCAAACTCCACATGGACAGTCACCCGAGGGTGGGATCGAACCTGGGTCCCTAGCACTGTGAGGCAGCAGCGCTAACCACTGAGACACCGTGCTGCACTCATGGCACTGGTCCCTGTAACAGTGACTGTGAAATTATAATCAATTGTTAGACCCCCATTTGGTCCACTGAGGCCCTGTAGGGAGGGACATTGCCATCCTTTCCTGGTCTGGCCTACACGTGAATCCAGCAAAGTGGCTGACTCTTAATTGTCCTCTGAAATGGCTGACACTGAGCTCAAGGGGCAATTAGGGATGGGCAACAAATTGCCCACATCCCAAAAAAGAATAATGATTGTGGCCAGGGACCATGAACCAGAGGAAATGATAATCGCAGCCTTCCAGGGATGTTCTAGAAGCTTCTGCTGTCCCTGACGTGTCCTTCAAGATTCAACTCTTGGATGATATATAGATCAGCTCTGGCTCGGGTTAGTAGGCCTGTCACTGTAGTAACACAAAGTCCCACTCTGGGCCTTGAGCCCTGAAGGTCAAAGCCGATGCGTTATTACAGTGCTGAGGGAGAGCTACTCTGTCCACGGCGCTCCTATTCAGGCAAGGTACTGAACTGAGGCCTTTAGCTACCTGTCCAGGAGGAAGTAGACAATCCCAAGGCTCCCCCATTTGGACGAAGAGCAGGGGAGAGGGGGTGGCACGGCGGGGGAAGTATTAACCCCTCCAGCTGGCACGCATGTCGGTGGGATCTTGCTGTGTGCAAATTGACTTCTAAAATCTTCCACTTACTTCATGGACTGAAAGGTGTTTTGAGATATCTGGCAATCATGAATAGTGTCAAATAAATGCACGTCTGTCCTTTTTTTAAACAGAAATGAAAGAGGCCTTTCTTTAAAAAATTCATTCAGAGAACGAGGGAGTTGCTGGCCGGGCCAGCATTTATTGCCCATCCCTAATTGCCCTGAGGGCAGCTGAGAGCTGTTGGTCTGGAGTCATGTATAGGCCAGACCAGGTAAGGGTGGCAGATTTCCTTCGCTAAAGGACATTAGTGAACCAGGTGGGTTTTTCCCTGGCAGTCAATAATAATTTCATGGTTATCATTAGACCTTTAATATCAAACTTTATTGAATTCAAATTCCATCATCTGCCACAGTGGGATTCAAACCTGAGTCCCCAGAACATAACCCAGGTCTCCAGGTTACTAATCTAGTGATAATACCATTAGGCTATTGCCTCCCTGATTGGTCTATGACCCACTGGAATAACTGCACAGAGGCTGGTATCTGGTCACACTTTATTTACATGTGCACCGTATATGTGGTCTGACCAGCTAGCTCAAACCTAGTCCCTGGAATGAGGAGACTCTCTGATGTTCCAGTTTATATCTGTCAGCCAGGGCTCCCCAATTGGCCCAGGTTAACAGCCCCAGTCGGGGATCTCAGGTCAATGAGATCCAGCTGGCCCTTGTTCTAATCATTACATCCATGAAAACCACCTCCCCCCTCTCCTCACCTCATCCATCCAACAGTTTCTCCATTCATCTAGCTTCCCCTCAATGTATCCAGCTCAACACTCCACTGTGGTGGTGAGGTCTGTGTCCTCACCATGCTCCAGGTGAATGATGTGGGGCGGTAGAAGGATGGATAGTAAGCAGTTCAACGCAGCAGGCTCCCAGCGATGAGCTCTTTCCCCACATTGTGATTAAGGTGGAGCCGGAGATAATACCAAGCACAGGGAGACACAGACCTGCCAACAAATCTACTGTCTATCACCTTTTCTTCAGTCGTTTTAATTATAAACTAGATCCTCTGATCTGAGCTGGAGTTGTTTGATGAACTCTCAGTCAATAGAGAGCTTCTGTTGATGTGATCCCAATTACCTGGGTCCAAGGAACTCGAAGCAATCCAATATTCCAACATGGAAATGTCTGGGCGGAATGGACTCAGCCGGAATGCCTGGCTGAGCTGAATAAAGGCTGCTCCCTCTTTTCTTTCCCTTCGCGTTCAGTTACCAGCTGCTTGGATACCAGATGACCACTTAATCGTTCTATGAAAATCAGCTTCGATGATTCATGTTATTATGGAGCACTGCCCTTTCTCTGCTATTAAACAGTGATTAACTTTTCCAGCTTATTGATTTTTTGCCTCCTGCTTCTCTCTATATTCTTTTGCCATATGATTAGCCATTTGGTTTCCTTCTCTGATTGAGGAACAGCAGTGCTGTTAGCAGGAGTGTGTGTGTGTGAATGTGAGTGTGTGCGTGCGTAAATTTGTGTGTGCGTGCATGTGAATGTGTGTGTGTGTGCATGTGAATGTGTGTGTGTGTGTGTGCGTGTGAATGTGTGTGTGTGTGAATGTGTGTGTGTGTGTGAGAATGCGAGTGTGAGTGTGTGTGTGAATGTGAGTGTGTGTGAGAACGGGAATGTGTGTGTGTGAATGGGAATGTGAGTGTGAGTGCATGTGGGAGTGTGAGTGTGAATGTGTGTGTGAATGTGCGTGTGTGAATACAAGTGTGAGTGTGAATGTGAGTGAGAGTGTGAATGCGCATGTGAGTGTGTGTGTGAGTGAGTGTGTGTGAGTGAGTGTGTGTGAATGTGCATGTGTGAATACAAGTGTGAGTGTGAATGTGAGTGAGAATGTGTGTGAATGTGAGTGAGTGAGCGTGTGTGAGTGGGAGTGTGAACATGATTGTATGAATGTGAATGAGTGTGATTGTGAGTGGTGTGAATGACAGTGTGAATGTGATTGTAAATGTAAGTGTGATTGTTTGATTTTAATTGTATAATTGTGAACATGAGTGGGAATGTTAGTGTGTGCGTGAATGTGCGCGATTGTGTCAGTGTTATTACGAGTGTGACTAAGAATGTGAGCTCGATTGTGACTGTGAGTGTGAATGTGAGAGTGATTGTGCATGAGTGAGAATTTGAGCACATGAATTTGAATGAGTGTTAATGTGAGTGTGAGTGTTACAAGGCAAAAACGTTTAAGTGTTACCATAGGAAATGGAGCATGTGCGAACATATCTGGTATTTTTTCTCAAGCTAAATTAGCCGTCAATCTTGTTTTTGGAGCTTTAAACCTGCAAATTGGTTCGGAAGTCAAACTAATAGAAACCACGCGGCTGTGGCATTTATCTGTCAAACAATTTAAAGTGAATATGTGCTGCACACTGTAGTAGGAAGCTGAGTTTGCATCTCACACTTGGGTGTGAATGATTAACTCTTGATAAACGTACATTTAGTTCACATTCACGCAGAGGGTGTGTGCAATGATACCTGGGTGCAGATAGAAATTTGCAGGCCAAGAGGGAAAGGGGTGCTATTTTTTTAAGCTGTTTTTTTTGCAACCTCAGATGCTGGTGCGCATTCAATGCTTTAATTAGCTGAGCAAGAAGATGATTTTTAAAGATATTGTCCCCTCTAAGCACAAGCAGAACTTTAAATTGGTGCTGGGGGGGCATCATATTGGAGATATTTTCTAAACAACCTGTTCAGAGATGTTATTACAGAACTCTGGAGCAGGTGGGAATTTAACCTAGGCCTCCTGATCCAGAGGTAGTGATGCTGCACCACAAGAGATCCCATATTGTATCGCAATATATTCACAGCTTGATGTATGAAACCACTTGACATACCTCAAGCAACGGTTCTGTGATCTTTCCAAATTTGAAACCCAACAAGTTCAATTAAACACAATAAAGATGGCAGACCAGGTGATGCGCTGCTGCTGTAGCGTGTGGGTGCTGGTGGACACCTGTGGGGTCCCAGTAATCCTATTTGTAGTAGGTTTCTGCAAATTGAGGAAGTTCAGATCCGCGCTAATGAGCTCAAGTTTCAAACACTGTGTGACGGATCAGGAAGGGATGAGTTTGCCTTGCTCAAGGAGTCAGTCACATCCCTTAGGCTCAGGACCTCAGATATAGAGAGAGTTGCAAGCCCTGATACACAGATTGCATAGGTTAGTGACCAGATACAGCAAGTGATGGTGGCTCAATGGTTAGCACTGCTGCCTCCCAGCGCTAGGGACCCGGGTTTGATTCCAGCCTCGGGCAACTGTCTGTGTGGAGTTTGCAAGTTTGCCTTTTGTCCGCGTGAATTTCCTCCTACAGTCCAAAGATGTGCAGGTCAGGGTGGATTGGCCGTGCTAAATTACCCATAGTGCCCAGGGATGTGCAAGTTGGGGTGGATTGGCCGTGCTAAATTACCCATAGTGCCCAGGGGTGTGCA